CTTTGTATGATATAAGAGGGTCGCAGAGTTCGTGCCTTTTACACTGTGTGGTTTCGTTTAAGTCTGTTATCGACTATACAAGACCTTTTAATCGATAAGTGCATCCGGTTGTAACGTTTACCTTTACCCTGCAAACCGCATCCATTTGAGGCTTTTCTTTTTAAGGTACCATCTGAACGCGTTTTAAGTTTTCAGTTTACACCGATAATATTTAAGTCGCCGTTAAACAGACGATGCCTTTAAAGAGAATTAGTCGAATTATTTTTGATTTGTTTACTTTTTGTTTTTATGTGTATCACTATAGTCATGTCAGTGACTTTGATAAACCTAAATTGAAGGAACGCGTAATACTGTTACTGTTACTGTAATAATAATAATAATAATTATTATTATAACTTGTCTACCGAGTGTAAAATTATGAATAAAAACCGGAGTGTTGAGTATATTAAACAACAGTCGTGTCTTTTTTATAACATTAAATGAGCAACTTATTAGCAAGTTCGTGAGAAATTATTTTTCACCGGTGTCTGATGAATATAATATTCTCGTGTTTTGATAAAAATTAATTACCGATTAGTTCTTCATAAATAAAATTAATTATTTTACACGAAAAGTTCGTGTCCAGTTCTTTTCCTTCGACTACTTAATGTTATGCTCGTCAGACACATCAATTGTAGACTCGTTGCTTTCATCGATCGCACATATACTTATGTACACGTACTTGTGGGATATGTATGTGAAAAACATTGTTGGAGTGCAAATAACAGTAATAAACGGATGAAAAAGAGGAAAATAAACAAAACGAGGCGCTAACGTGACGTTGATTAATAGCGGTCGCCTTCCTATGGTTATACGGCTTCATAAGTGTAGATGAGTTCATGTGTACAAACAGAGTGTACACTCGCTAATTGTCGTCACCGACCGACCATTAATCACCCGAAATCAAGTAGCACGAGTTTTTTAGTGTCTTCTATTATTCTACCGTGCAACTGATACACCTTCTTGTACTCATAGTCTCGAGAACAATAGATAAGATCTCGGCTGTCGTTCGGTGTAACAACAACTGACAATAAAGCATCGTAAAATACATTGAGAAAGTTCTATGAGCAAAAATTTAACGTGTTCATTATGCGAATGGACGATAGAGAAGATATTATGTGATTGATATGTGCATAAAGTATTTAAATCATGTTGAATGAATTCAAACGGTCTTTAAGAGTCATCAAAGATATAATTTATATTCATTTGGCAGTTGTTTTATGATTATTTTTATGGTGTACTTAATATGCTCCGTGGCAATTATGTGAGTGTGTATTATTGTACGTTATCGTTATAATTAATCGATCGAAACGGTTTAAACGAATCCGCTACTGTAACACCGCCCAATTGTGTTGTCTGAGGTCATCTATTGTCAATTTTCGATGCTGAGATAATCGAGTATTGTTTTAACGGAATTGAAAGTTATGCCTTACGGTAAAATTATACTAGAAATAGGTGATGAAAAAATAATAAAAAATTCCGAATCGAAAATCGTATTCCTGTGATTGACTCGTTTGCACATGGAAATTGTCAGCACGTGCGTTCACACTGTGAAAGACAATTTAATGTGTTTTTCATGTACATATACATATATTATTATTATTATTATTATTAGTCGACGTTCATTGGCGCACAAAGACCAACGGGACTCGCTATGTAGTTCTGAACGCAAAAACATTGTGTGTAGGAGAAGACGGGGAATTCGAGATGGCCAAATTAAAATCACGTACACAACGGCCGCTGGCGCGTAAACGTTTTTAATTGTTAGTCCGTTACTCTATTCTGTATACATTATTATACACTTATGGCAACGAATACGCATCGATTGTTGTCCGGCACGTAATTCGGGTTGTGGAATTTTTTTTTCGGAGGGAAAAAAAAAGAAATTATAATAAAGCGAACGCAAATTCGATTATCGCCAAGTTGGCTTGCCTCGCGACTTCGACAAAAAGAAACATAGTGAGCAAATCATAAACGAGCATACTCATATGAGATATTAATAAGCCATCCAGTAGTCGTTACTGTGTCGGCACATTTGTGTACGACCGTTGATGTTACCGTGAGACTTCGGGACTGATGTAAATTTAACAGAGTCTCAGCGAGAGGTTTTCTCACGAGATTTGGCCAGCCGGATTAGCGTCAGAGCGAATGTCAAAATAGATAATGTCAATCTCGAATCGGTTGGAATGCGTCCGGTGAACAATGAAGAGTTTAGTTTAAGTAACTTATCGATTCCCGTGGTGTACGAGCCGTTGGAACTGTGTCATTTTCTTACTAATGTCTGCGTCCGTCAATATTCTGTTTTTCTTGTTTTTTAATTATGACATGGTATTTGTGTTAATTGCACACTAATAAATAGCTGTGTGATCAGATCGTTCATCTTTTTCGAACATAGTTAATCTGCATATTGTTTTTTAAAACATGTAAAAAATAAAAACGCTATTGACTTTGCCGATTTATTTTATATTATCTCACTAATGCTCTTGTTTATGACCTGTCATATTTCACATAATGTTCAAATGTGTACAATGATAAATATTACGTTGCATAAACCTTTATGGGGCATAAACAATGAAAGATACATTGTGATTGCTATGTTTATGAAATTACATAGTAACATTGAACTTTACAAGTTCGTTAACAGATTGAATTTTGAAATGTTTTCAATTTTTTCAGCTTAAAATTTAGTATTTGTTAATTTTTTTTAATTCTAAAGTTGGGGAAAAAAATAGTTCAGTTTAACACGTACTAAATACTAACAATTTACTGTTTTCGGCTATATTATACTATTTGTAATGCTGTGATTAGATTCGTATACAAATTTCTGAGTTGCTTTTCTTATCTGACGTTATTATTAGAATTGCCTTTACTGTTGAAGATTACGCAGTGTAGCAATGCATAAAAAAATACACTATACAGTTGAATTGAGCAGTTATCATTGATCCGACGGATCAGTTATTTGATTAATTTAACTAGTAGTTCAATTTATTCCAGAGGAATTCTACCTTCGGAAATGTGCAGAGCAAAATATAAAATACTGCAAAAGAATGCGTAACGGGACTTATTGCAAAAATGCAGTTTATTTTAAAGGAATCCTTCGGGCACGTGGTCATTTATCGTTATGCACAAACTATATTTATATTACGAGATTTTATTTTTATTTGATCGCATTTCGTTTTTTATCCGGAAAACACCGTTTTTGTTTTGACGTTCGATTTTATTTTTTTGCCGTGAGAATCGGATCACTTTGGTCGGCCGTCTAATTGTTGACACACATATACTGCTGTCGAATATATACGTGTATTTGGCCTTGCTGTCCAAACACTCAGTTTTTTGTTGTATTATTTTCATTTGTTGTTATATTATATTCCGATCGGGGACGTGCAGTCGTCATGTGATACATTTGTTAATAGAGAGCCTTTTGACACTCATTACTCGCGTTTTGCTTCTACTTCCCACCCGAACCATTGTCCCTGTACTACTGTCCGTTAGGTATTTATTCTTTCTTCAAATAAAAGGAAAATTTCGCACTCGAAATTAAAAACTATACATTGGATGTTTTACGCGATTACACATTGTATACGACGTTCTACACGATCAACAAATACCACGCGCGCATTTTTTATATTATACCTCGATTTTTGACCAACACGTAACTATTAGGTCTGAACGATTATTGTGCTTTTTATGAATCCGAAAATTCGGTCACCGAAAATCGATCAGTTTTTATCATTCGCCAATTTTAACGCGGTTGACTCATACCGATTACGGTGAAGTAAATGATATTGTTGTGAAAAAATTAGTTAAGTGATTCTATTATCTACGCAGACGTGTGTGAGACATGATCGTAGGCCAGAAGTATAATCCGTTACTGATTTGCGTACGATCACAGGGCAAAAAAACATCTTTCAATTCTGACTGTTTTTATAGTACTTTATTATTACTTTATTTTTTTTTTGATATTTATGGAGTAAAACTGCCGTTACACGAAGTTGTTGCGTCTATTAATTAACGAAAGATCGTAAAGACCAGTTGCTATTGCAGACTAGATATTACTCAGCCGAGCAACTTTATTATTATAAAATCCTACCGATAGTTATGAAACTGTGCAGACTCCAACTAAGTGGTCGCGAAATTTCCGTTGCATACTGTTACATTGTTGTATCTGTGCGGCAGAACCGATTCAACGCATTTTCAATTAAGATGTCGAATACGCGATGCCATTGATACGGTTATTAAACGGATTTATTATCAAATGATTTTAATTCTTGTATTCTGAGTTTCGTGGATTGTAATGTACCACTGCTGCGTGTCGGCCCCACCGATTAGATTTCCCGCTAGAGTAAAGCTATTTCGGCGTTATCCTTAATAGATTTAATTAAACGACCGTTTGTATTCTTTAGTGACCCCGAACACTAGACATTATTCCGTTAAAATTAAAAAGTATTCCAGTTATTTGTAATGAGGTCTTTAATATGTTACATAACCGTCTCCTCGATAAATTTATTAGAAGATGATAAATCCTCGGTCAAACTTGTTTACCTAGTTTCTTTCCGAAAATTCTCAAGTCCCAATAGTGTCGCTGAAGAATGTTTTACGACCAGTGCTTTTATAGTTTTTTAAATGCGTGTTAACCGTGTCGCGTAATAATGTTTTTTTTACTATAGTTCCTGACAGATCATAAATGATCTGTCAGGAACTATACGAGTTTGGAAAAATATGTTTTTCCTTGTAAAAAAAAAAAAAAAAACTTCTATACACTAAAAAAATATTATTTTGCTTTTGCGTTATGATGACGAGTATAATTTAAAAAAAACTATTACGTAAAGTTTAATTTCTATGAACAACAGTTTCTGATAATAGTATTAAATATATTTACTCAAAACTAATAAAATGTATGTATAACAAACTCAAAAGTTTTATTTTTATTATTAAAGTAGACGTATAAATTTTAAGCTTACCCATTTGGAATTGAAAAATCCGAGGGCAAGTTGATTTTGCTTGTGTTTTATCGATAGCTTGTCTTCCGCGGTGGCGGACGCGCAAAAAACGCACTGTATTTTCGTTAAAAAGTAATAAATTAACGAGTAAACAACACTGGACCGATATTGTATCGAATAACGACGTGTACGTCAACGGAGATACGAAAATAAAATTGGAGTTAAAATAACAACGGCAATGTTTTGGATGGTACGAGACTTCAAGACCTTGGCCTTCGCCAGTCCACTAGCTACGGACTATTGAAGACCCGATCGTTGCAGACATCGCTGGTCGCCGACCGGGCCGGTCCATCCTGGACCCCCTTCCACGCGCTCAAATACGTGGCGGTGGTGGCCACACTACACTTCCGATCCATCCGCGAGCTGACGTCACGACTCGCAGAAACGCTTCCGCGTGGAACGACCGCGCCGGTGGTAGCGCAACTCGTTCTCGGCACCGGTGGAACGCGTAGGCGTCTTAATTAACGATTCTATTTCAACCCGCTTATTACCGTCGCCATCGGGTGCACACGTGACAAAAGTGTCAAGCGTTGTGTTCACCTAAAAACACTATTACTGCAATCCGCCGCGAACCATTTGCACGGGACAGTGGAGCAACGGCCAGGCTAGTGACCCCGCGACACGCACTGCCGCCTCTTATTACGGACGCAACATTTATTTTCATGAAATTAACGTGCAATTTGTTTGTCGTGTGTGCAAGTCCAAAGTGTTTTACATAGTGTTGTGCTCCGAACACTTCATTAGCGCAACATTGTCGGATCCAAATACGGCAAAGGTCGCGCACCAACAGATAATCTGCTCATCGCCGGGGTGCGTTTCGTCCCGTTAATAACCATATTATGTGCTCGTTATGTGAATGAACGCAGATGAGGTCGAGACCTCCGAAGGTCGTGACAAGTAGATGAGCATATCGGGCCCGCCCATGCACTGGGTTTCAATCACACGTGCAACTGTTTTCAAGTAATTTCACGTGTTGTCACTGTTGCACGTACGTGTGAGTTACACGTAATAAGTTCATCAATCTATCGCACTTTTCGCGTAACAAAAAATTAACGGACTTTGTGCGACCTTTAAAGCAATACGGTGGTCTCCCTAAAAGAGTTGGCGTACCTCGCCCGTGTATTTTACGGTCGCCATTCGCCGATATTTCCGCTTTGACATTTCAGATTTGATTGTTCTGCAAACAATCGTTTGTTAATCGTAAACTTCCTTAAAATTCCTCGTTTTTCTAGTGCACTTGGTACTATTGTCTGATATGTGTTTATTTAACGCGTGTGGCTGATATTGAACGAAAACGCTCGAGGGCGTCGGAAGACAACACATTTTTATTTGCAAATATAATTATTATATTTTAAGGCGTTTGACCGCAACTTGAGTAATGTTAGATGGATGCCATGTGTTAGAACCGCACGAATGCGAATAGTTTAAATGAACATCGTTTTGTTTTTTTCGTAATTCGAAATTATAGCGATGAAGCTTAATAAAAAAATATTTTAAAAACGTGTGGTTTATTCGCTTAATTATAAGGAGTTATATAAAAAGAGCAAACAATATATATATATACATTTAGATACCGCACTAGAACCAAGTAAAGAAATTATTTGTCCATTTTTGTGCGCTTAAATTGTTTAAATTTGATTGTAAGTTGAACTATACATTTATTTTGTCATGCTAATGGTAATCATTCAAGGTACACATTATTTTATTCGACATTCTTTTTGTTTCAATATGGTCAACGGTTGTTTCCATTTAGGTCAAATCGTTTAGATGCATATTCTCTCAATATGAGATAGATATATATTATCGTGCCGTTTAGATACATACTCAAATGACAGTAATTACATAGAGTTAAGGAATTGTTTTTTTTACTTTTATTTCAGTTTGCCCGCGGTTAACTACTAAATCGTGAAGAAACATTTTTGCTTATAACGACCAATAGACACTGTCCATATACGCTATCAACAGTTGTTTGTAATGTGATACTAAAAATTTATTTGAGAATCACATCTGCATATATGCCTAATACGATGTATTGTATTCGGTGTTGTGGGTATTAATCGTCCATGATGTCGAATTGGAACAAAAACGTGTATCATGCACTTAAAAAAACAGTGAGTTCCACAATGTATCCGCAGCACTTCATGTATGTTATGTATGTGATAGGATAATAGAACCCATCTCGATTCCCGAGTGATCCGTTACTTATCAATGACACCCGGCACATTGTCTTAAAAGAGTATGCTCGAGTACTGACAATTATTGTTGTTTCGACACATTTTTAATACATTAAATCGGTTTTCAATATAATATGCACGTCATCAACCGTTAGACAATTGTTTTGGAAATGCGATCGGAGAGAACACTTAATATAATTCATGTTGGCCACCCCCGTACTGTAACCATTATAATGTTGTGCACCTGTTAATAGTTAAGCACACCGCCTAAGTAAACAAATAAATCTCGACGCCGACTCTAATGTTTTACCCGACCACAACTTAGCGTTCTTTTTTCTTTAGTTTTTCCAAAAATTTGGGCAATTCATGTTAATATTTTTGTCGGCGTGTAAACAAAATTCATTGATTTGTACCTTCCCTGAAATCCATAAGGCTTTTGATGTTTATTTTTTAAAAAAAACTTGCTTTATTTCTGAATGAAAATTAATATTTTAGTATTAACGAAGAAAAATCATATTCAAATAACGTATTTGGTTAAAAATAATTCAAATTTTTACTATTAATTATGATAAAATTGCTAATTATAGATTGGTGTTGCCATATATTTATAAACAATTTCATACGGAATTTTTACCTTTTATAGTCATAAAAGTATAAAAAATGTACAATTTATAGACACGTGTTTTCCATTCAATTATCATAAGATTAAGTGTGCCAAAAAGTAGATATATGAGACAGTGTTCCATCCATTGCGATTTTCCATCGGTGTAACCCAATAGGTTTTGTTGATCAAACAGCTCAGAAGACTATTCAATAATGACGGGCGAAGATAAGTTTGAAGACGAGCGGTGTACTTTTCAAAATTATCTATTGTCAACGTGTGTTGTTCGTTTAGCGTAGGGCTACTGACATTGGCTGGCGTTATTTCGATAAGCCGAGACGTGGTGAGGTTGATTTTTATTGGGTTGATCTGATTACACGTCTGAATTCGCCATTTCTCAAGCTCAACTCTTTGTACATAAGATAAGATATCTCTTTTGTTTAATTTTTACATTTTTCTCGCATTTTTCGATAACGGTGTCGGTTCTATGAGAAACGTCATATATTTACATCATTAATGTAAAACAACTGAAAAAACAGAACGTTTGGCTCATCCGGCGGTTATATTTGGGTGTTCCCGGAAAAGCCGATTGTATAGCACCACAATGTGCACGTGCACAGTATGGATCTTCCGCTGACTATGGGATCTAGGCCGCGCTTAATAATCCGCTGCTCGTATGGTAATTACTCGTGGCGACATACTCGGCACTGTTGTTGTGTGTGCCATTACTACTACTGACCCATAAGCGAAGAATGTCCGTCGGTACAATGAGATCCCATTACGTATTCACCGGGGTTTAGGTGACAATGGAGCGGCAGAAAATCGCTGGACAACACCTTTTTTTATTTCATTCCGAACGTGTATATTATGTTATGTGCTATCGGTCGCGTTTTCTTCGGTAACGCGTGGACGTGGATTTATATTCCCAATTAGTTGGCAACGGGTCGCAATGCTAATAAATAAACTGACGGACGCATTACCGCGGCGATGTCGGCGCGGACGCCAAGCCGATAGGAAATTATCAAAGTTTCTTTGGCCAATATCGCCGATCGGCCATAGATTTTCTTTAGAGACACAGTTTCGCGCAAAAACTCTGTGCTGGTATGGTGTCGTGTCTCCGTAGATATGATTGTCCGTCCAGCGTACAACACAATGGTCGAACATTACCGTTGGGCNACAAAAAAAAAAAAAAAACTGTTCTTCTCCTATTTCGCCCGTGTCCCGGTGACGGACCGTTTTCGCTGGAAACAATTAAAAACGATCACAACCGTTGTCGATGTCGCACGCGTTCTATGGAGGGACGTGGGCGGGTCGCCGATTTAATAAAAAAAAAAAATGCAAAGTACGATGTGGAACATATAAAACGATGGAAAATGTAGGCCAATACACTCGCTGTCCGTTTGAGGTAAAAAAAGGAATAAAGATCGCGGTCAAGAAAACAATAGCCGGAAGACACTACACGACGATGATTCCAAACGGGCAGTCAGACGTGGGTATCGTCGATGCATTCACACTCGGTGTGTTGTAACCGCATTGAGGTGCCAACGGTGAAAAAGTCTTGGAAATCAAGGAGAGGCTCGCCATATGATAATTCTTTTGCTTTCTGTCTGGCCAACGTTCAAAAAGTAAACGGTCCGCACGCTTATGCGTCAGGTGCAATTTAACTGTTGCCCATGCGCGCTGTCCACTCGATGTAATTTTCTCACTATTCGGAAAAGCAGTCCGAGTGTAAAAAAATGTAAACGTTTTTTCTATTTTTCACATTTTACAATGTAAATAACACTGTAGGCGTGCCATCAAATACGCAAACAACATAATTTTGATCTCGGTTAAATAAAAAGATCTGTCCGGTTCATGCTTCACGGCTATTGTTATTGTCGTTGTTCGCCAAAACCGCCTGACCCGTTACCCGACTGTATATTTTATGGACTATTGAATGGAATAATCCGTTTTTAATAACGACTTCAAATTGGACGTGTTGTATATTTTAAGTACACGCCGTTTGTACTGTCGCTGTAATGTATACGTCATTTTCAACATAACAATATCAATAAGCAATTGTTACGTTCTGCCAATATTTATAAATGGAAATCTGGACCCGAATAAATTTATAGCTCGTATGAAATTATTAGCGTATGGTGTGTTACCATAGTTATATTACCTCGGGTAATGTGCAACAAATTATGCGCACACAGTTATTAGCATAATATTTTGGCGGCAATTCGATTTCGTTACCGTGTAGTCGTTTATGGCACTTTATCCGCCTGTAAGTACCATAGTTAATTGCTTAAATAACATCGGTCACATTGGTCGAAAAAAAAAAGAGTCTGTAAAATAACAATGTTTATAGCAGATCAGCTGTTGTACTGTAAAAGTGGATTGAACGGGAATTCTTAAAAAACACTATTACTCGTGCGCGTTGAATTCTTTGTCGGATAATTTCAGCTTGGAACTTGCAAGTAATTGCAGT